CCCCACCCCGGCAGCCTGACTGGGAAAAGGGTTGGAAGATGAATGGATGGATTACAACAAACCTTGTAAATATTTATGCTTGATTGACGTGTTATAAAACATTAGACATCATATCAAATAACATTTACAAGCTGCATGTGGATTTGCACTCTAATTAAAATGAAATATGATTCTCAAATGTGACTTAATTTGTCTCTCAAATGAAGTACAGATTAGTATTAAACTTTAATTAAAACAAATCCGTCTTTCAAGTAGTTAGTTGGTAGCTGTTAAAAAAAACTTTAGAAATTGTTCATTAGTATATAAAATTAAATCGCCCTTAATATTCCAGCTACCGTGTTACTAATTTTAAGAGCTGAAATAAAACAGTGGGAATGTAAATGTGTCCAGTGTTGATGGGAGATCAGGAGCTGTGAAGCATAATTAACTGCTTAGCTGTAATTAAATACAGGCTGGGGGGAGGTCTCTGCGGATTGAGGCCAGCAGGGGGCGCTCACCTCGTACTCGCTCTGGACTAATCAGTTCTGCAATGCGTTGTTCCCAGTGTGCTGCTCCCAAACATGGTTCTCCAACATGTTCCTGCTGCATGCAGTTCTGCAACACGTTCCTGCTGCATGCAGTTCTCCAAAATGTTGCTCCTGATATGTCTGATTGTTCAGTTTTGTTTTGTTATTTGTTTTTTTGTTTTTTTTTTTTGGAAGAACATTAGTCGGCTTGATTTGTTGATTCATTCCTGGGTGAAACAGTCAGCTAAATGGTCGATGAAATACTGTACAACACAGAGAGGAACATTTGGACTGTGTGTGCTGTTGAAAAGCCCCTTTACGCCTTTTTTTTAACGAGTTATTAAGACGCTTTAGCGGAGCTCTCAATTCACCAGCTTCTGCTGTGTAGTTCTTGCCCTTTTACAACATCTGACATTTCGGCTTCGCCGTGGTTTCTCCGGGGATTTCAGTTTGCAGCCGCTTTTAGCGTCCAGCCTACAGAAATGTACTGCTGCTCAGTATGGGGCCCCGAACCCACAACCTGCGGACTTAGGGTTCTGACCGGTCGGCCTTCTGCTCCCGTGGATGAGTGTCTGCAGCTGATCATTGTGCATGAGTGATTTTTATGTTCCTGCTTTGCGTTACCAGCCAGGGGGATCTGTGTTTATGCAGGATTTGTGGTGTTTATCGGTTTGTGGACAGGCCTGAGCGAGATCTGCCGTATTTACATTTTAGGGTCAGCAAGTTCCTGGAGCGATTGAGGTTTGAGGGTCTCGCTCAGGGACTCAGTGGTGAAATCACTCTGCTGGCCCTGTGATTTGAACCAGGGGCTGTCTGAGTTTATCTTCTCAATTGTACATCAGTTTGGGTAAAAGTATATGCAAAATAAATCAATCGTAAAACAGTTCACACCCAACCACATGATGACACTTTGATATTAAACCGTATGTTTATAAAACATTTACGAAGAACTCGATTGTGACATCATAATGGTACATTCCAAATGGAATCTTAAGTGAAAAAAGTAACGAGAAGCACTGGCTCCCAGTTCTGAGGCCTGTCTTGGTGCGGGGTCTTCCCGGTGGGTGACAGACATGCTGACTCCGCCGTTTGAGTCCGTCCCTCGGCTGTCAGGGCTCGAGTCGGGCTCCTGCTTAATGAGCGACTGGCCGGTGGCACTCGGCCTCGGGGACAGTACAGGGACGAAGGCCTCTGGTGGGGAGCTGAAAGGGAAGAGTCCCACGAGGCCCTGTTTATGTTCCAGAGGATTCCTGTTCTCTTTCAGTGTTTGAACTATAGTGCAGTGTGTCTGTGGTACTGTTACATAATGATAAATGGGCTTGTAAAGATAAAATAGTAATTAAAAGAATTAATCAGAATTGAAGCTAAGCTGTTATTGAAATTTAGGGTGGCGGCATGGCCTGACACGTCCGAGGCTGCGGGTTCGATCCCTGCCCCCGCTGTGGCAGAGTTTGCATGTTCTCCCCGTGCTGCGTGTGGGTTTCTTCCAGTTTCCACCCACAGTCCTTAGACATGCGCTTAGGCTAACTGGCATCTCTAACAGAGTGTGAACGTGTGTGTCCAGGGTGTCCCTGCCCTGTGATGGACTGGCATCCCGTCCAGGGTGTCCCTGCCCTGTGCCCTGTGATGGACTGGCATCCCGTCCAGGGTGTCCCTGCCCTGTGCCCTGTGATGGACTGGCATCCCGTCCAGGGTGTCCCTGCCTTGTGCCCTTTGCTTCTTGGGACAGACTCCAGGCTCACGTAACCCTCTGTTGGATATGTGGTTATGAAGATGGATGAAAATGAAATTTAAAAATGGACAGTGTATCAGAAATGGAAGCTAAAGTAACCAGTGCTAATGAGTAATGAGTTCACTCTCCTCATCTCGATCCTCATCCCGCTCCCCATCACCGCTCCCTATCCCGCTCCTCATCTTGCTCCCCATCCCGCTCCACATCTCGCTCCTCATCTCGCTTCTCATCCCACTCCCCATCCTGCTCCTCATCACCACTCCCCATCCCGCTCCTCATCACTGCTCCCCATCCCGCTCCTCATCACCGCTCCTCATCTCGCTCCTCATCTCGCTCCCCATCCCGCTCCCCATCTTGCTCCTCATCTCGCTCCTCATCATCGCTCCCCATCTCGCTCCTCATCACCGCTCCCCATCCCGCTCCTCATCACCGCTCCCCATCCCGCTCCTCATCTTGCTTCCCATCCTGCTCCCCATCTCGCTCCTCATCATCGCTCCCCATCCCGCTCCTCATCACCGCTCCCCATCCCGCTCCCCATCTTGCTCCCCATCCCGCTCCCCATCTCGCTCCTTATCCCGCCCCTCATCACCGCTCCTCATCACCGCTCCCCATCCCGCTCCTCATCACCGCTCCCTATCCCGCTCCCCATCTTGCTCCCCATCTCGCTCCTCATCCCACTCCTCATCACCGCTCCTCATCACCGGTCTCCATCCCGCTCCCCAAGGCCCTGACGACGGGCAGCATCCCAGGCTTCATCGACGTGGTGATGAACCTGAACTCTGCGGCCCTGCTGGAGGACAACCTCATCTGGCAGGCCCGGGAGGCCGGCAAGAGGCTCGCTTTCTTCGGTGACGACACCTGGCTGCGCCTCTTCCCCAAACACTTCAAGCTGTTTGATGGCACCACCTCCTTTTTTGTCTCTGACTACACAGAGGTAAGGAGGGGTGTGGGTGGGTGGAGCATGTGAGAGGTTTATGAGTTATGGGGTTAGAGAAGGGACACACTGTGCCACCATATGTGTCAGTTTCATAAGGTTTCTAATGTGGTGTTTCCACAATTTTTTATTCCTTGCACAGATATAGCTGCACTGTTTACAAATGTACATAAAACGGGACTGCATTCACAGCATGCTGAGAACAAAAATGTCTAATATCTTTTTTTAGTTCAAAAAATGTGTTGTAACCGAAATGGTGGTTCGTAAGCACACTTTGGCAGTTACTCAGTAATATGGAAAATGAGTAATATTATTATCCCAACAAGTGTGAATACTCGAAACCAGAAAAACTCCCTCAGCTATCTAACACCTCTGCTGGAAAATAAGCAGTATAGATCTCCTGCAATAGTTTAGGGCGGTTTCTCTCCGAGCTCCCAGCCACATCGAATACCTGGTTCAGGTGTGCTGGGAGCGGGAAGGGAGCCAAAATGTGGACTGTCTCTGGATCCCTGAAGACTGGGGTGAATCATTTCTCTAGGGGGTTACAGCACCGGTCCCCAGAATCCAATGCCTCCCCCCCCCCCCCACTCCCCTGCAGGTGGACAACAATGTCACCCGCCATCTGGATGCGGTTCTCAAGTGGCATGACTGGGATATCCTGATCCTTCACTACTTGGGCCTGGACCACATCGGGCATCTGAGTGGTCCTCACAGCTCACTGGTGGGACCCAAGCTGATCGAGATGGACGACGTCCTCAAGAAGATCCACACCTCCCTCATCTCTGAGGTAGACCATCACCTCTGCTGGTCACATGCAGAAATCAGCACATAATTATTATATTTTCGCCGCCGGGGTTTACCGATGTTTCGGACGTGGTGCGATTAGTGCAGATGAAGTGTCATTTCGGCAAGGGATGTTTTGGTCGCACCGGGGAGAACACTCCGATCTGCTCGCTGGTAAGCTTGGGAACCGGCCAGCAGCGCAGGGGCGAGAAGCTTCTCAGAAGTGGTGGGACCATTACAGAAAGCCAGTGTCTCTGCCAAACGAAACCACGTAGCATAAACAAAGACTGACCCGGTCGCAAACTGCTCACTTTCGTCTCTTTCCGTCCTTTTGCAAACCATTTAAGTCTTTGCAATGTGTGTTTTGAAGAAGAAAATGCCAGTTCTGAAGACTCCCCATTGCCTTCTGTCTTTGTATCTGCATACAAAAATCCTTCAGGAAGCTTTTTATATCCTTCTCACTGATTTGTAACCTCCGCTGCTTTTCGTTCAAGTATTTTGTTTCTGATGAGAGACGTTTCTTTTTTACATTTATATGATGCTTTTATCCAAAGCACCTTACCGGAGGGGAAAGGTTCATGTACGCTCCCTGGGATTTGAACCCAAAACCTTTCACAATATTAGCGCAGTGTGCTGCTTGTTGAGCCGCCGAGCCCTTTAACAAGCTGTCGGAGCTTTATAAATAATTATAGTTTGACCACAATACAGGCAGCCCTTAGGTGACTGACTGACCGACGGCCCGGGGGCCATCTCACAGCCCTTCGTTACAGAGTCGTGCCCCCCCCCCCCCCCCGGCTAGGACCTGCAGCACGTTTCGTTCCTCAGCTGTGGCCAGGATGGATCCCTGCAGCATGATGTATTACCGTGTTACCTGTTGACGAAGTTGCACTATCGCGTCTGGAAGCTAAATCACGCTGGCTAGGATCCAGGTGATTGAAATCCGATTATCTGCTTCCTCAAATGTCTCGGGAAAATAATGGGCCGGACATTTGCACCTTTACCGGACAGACCTTTCTCTCGCTGACGGAGGCCAAGAATCATGATGAAGGATCCGTGCGCGTTAGAAGATAACAAAGCCATTGTGAAGTGTTTTAGCCATATGAATGATTAGCGGATATGATGTTTTGTTGTTTTGATGCTGTTATCTTGGTCCTGGCCAGGTACCTAAAGGGCAGAGCTTTTTGTTTGTTTTTTTTTTTTTCTTTTCTGTTATGTGTCCTTCTTGTCAGACGATAATGAGAATTGTAGAGATATCATTGAGACGAGACCAACCGAAAACCTTCTACAGGCATTATTGTAGCCCAGACTTCCTCACGGGACAACGGTGGATCCAGTAGCCAGTTGGGATTCCTCACTGCATCCATATCACGCAACACGCCTTCTTTCCCAGAGCACATCTGCTCATTCCTGCATAGTTGCATCACACCTGTGCAAGGGGGTGGTGATTCTGCGCTTATTTACTAGAATAAGGACTATGGTGAGTATGGCCTGGTGTTTTGTTTATGGAGCTTCACTCAAAAACTGCCCCCCCCCCATATGTTTCAATAGCTAAATAAATATGTAACAAGTGGTTAGGCAATCGTAGCTAGCTTGCTGGTTAGCAGAACATGCTGTTCCATCATCTCCTCAATAAGAAATGTATTTTATTTCATATTTAGAGTAGTAGCGGTTTGTGTCCTACAGGGGGCGCCACACAAATACTAGGTTTGAGTGGTGGTAAACACCATCGCTGATGGCGGGGAACTCGGAGTCCAAAGTTCACCTGAGCAGCAGGAACGGTGTCAGGAGACACGCACACACACACACACTCACACACACACACACACACACACAGCAATGATTGACCATCCAGGGGCTGCTGCTTTTCATTATTTCGGCAGCGTACACTTTGGCTCTCTGTGAAATTCCTTTAAAAGCCAGTAAAGAGCACGCCGCCATTGGCTTTCACGCTTTCTTTATTCTGATGTGTGTTTCTCTCTTTCATTTTTATCCACCTTCATACCCAGTGTGTGTGCGTGGGCGCAGACCGTCACACGGCGCCATTAGACCCCATCTGAAAGTATCCCCATGTAACCGGGGGCCCTTTGAATCTGCACTCAGTGCCCAGAACAGAGATAATTGCCCCCCCCCACCCCACAGGGCTGTTGAGTAGGGGAGCGCTGTGCGATGGAGTGGATTAGAGTGCTGAGATTTTGGCTCAGATTTGAAGCGTAGAGCTTTAGACCCCCAGGTTGACGCGGATTCTGAGTGCCCTTCGAAAACCGTCAAGAGACAAGTGTCGTCTAAAGCTGCCCCCCAGCTGCCAGGCCACCCAACTACATTTAACCAGTCGTCCTGGGGCTCCTCATAAGGGAGACATGATTCAAGGTAACCCAACTTGGAACGGCAGCTTGGTCTCAACATTCACCGTCATGACCACCCCCTCCCCTTACCAGTGCACCCCCAAAATCCTCTGACATCATTCACTGGTGCCCCCTCCCCTAAATACACAAATGTCTACCCAAGGACAGCATCCTGGCACTGCCATTACCGAGTGCCCCCCCCCCCCCAGGGCCCCATCACACCCAGAGCTCTCCAAAAAGTCCCTCCCCCAGTGATGGTGTTTACCGTCACGTTCCACGAATAACTTTCCCCTCTAATCTAACTCCCCCATCGCCGTATTCCTGCGGGGGCCCCGGAGTTCCGCACATGAAGGCTTCCCCCCGCTAAGCGATCACATCCCGGGGGTGCTCATTATTATCCCCCCTCCCCTTCTATTCTGCTGCGTTCCAGCAAACGCTGCTTATGATTTCCGAGCGCAGGTCCCGCGCGGAATCCCGTCCCCCGGAACGCCGGTTCCTTCAGTTGGCAGCGGAAGCGGGACTGGAATCCAGCACGGAATAATCACGCCAGCACTCCATAAAAAACAGCCTAATGTGCACTGGAATAGAATTAGCGGGACAAATTAGCCGGTTTTTGTCGCCTCCGGTTAACTTGGGACCTTGCTGAAATCTTCAGGTCTGTTCGCACGGGTTCAGCCATGGTGAATCTCTGAAAACGTACATGCTCTGAAGGGCACAGAATTTGGCTGAATTTTAGGTAGCCTTTTAAAAATGATTTCCTTGAGATATTACTTTTGTCCGCTTTTCATCTGTTTCTCTCCACTCCAGTTGAGTCAAATGAATGATATACTTTTAATGAGTCTTGACTGTCATTTGATGGATGCTGCACAGATGACGAATCTTTTGGGTTTTTTTTAGCTCCTGGGTCTGTTTTCCCGAAACTGCAGTGTCTCTCCACTTGCCTAGCCACGTAACCCCCCCCCCCTTCCCCGCCCCCACCGTTCCTCTGATCTTAATGACCCCTCAAATGTAATTTAACGTTCACCCGATGCCTTTTAAATCCTGGCAAGCTCGGAGAAGGCTTTCAGCACGGTTTTAATATTTAATCGGCCGTTTTGCTGACCTTTAAATAAGCGACTGGAATGGCCTGGAACGCTGCGTGGGGGAATCGCTGAAGGTTGAAAGCGATACAGGCCCGGCTGCTAATTGCCTAATGCCTCCCAATTTTCATCAGCCGATCCTCGATACAGATCGAGTACAGAGGACAGTGGAGATGAGAGCAGCACCTGGAAATAGATTCGGGTTCACATTTAGCAGGACAGATGCTGGAAACGCCATGGAGCTCGATCTTCTCACATTTTTAATCACGCTGACACGTGGTTTCCCGTTATGTGGGAATCTTTTCAGGGCAGATCTTGTTAAGGACCTGGGACTTTAGGTTATGAATGCGATTCCTTAACCCCTGTGGTCTCCACCTCGCGATGGTGCCCTTAACACGCACCTCTTCGTCTGAAAACTTTTGGAGTCGGCAAGTCTAGGAATAAACCTGACCTCAGAAGTTCCCTAACCTGAAACCCAAAGTTCCCATCGCTAAGAAGATGGGGAAGCAAGGATTTCCGTATGGCACGAGTGTCAAAATTGTGTCTTTCTAGACTTCTTTTATAGTGAACTTTTTGTGACCAGGTAAGGATTAAGTCATTAGCTGCCTGTAGATATAGATGTCTGATTCGGGACATTTCCCGTGTGCCTCTTTGACAGCGTCTGCTAAAGAACCTAGTGTGACATGACATTAAGGCTGTTGTTGGAGCAGTAGGTGGCCTTTGACCCCGGAGGGGGTGGAGAGGGTAGCTGTAGGATCTCATGACCCTCAGATTCACGCAATGCCATCAGCCTGCAGATATACTGCTCTCTCTCTCTCTAATGGCAAACGACATATCCGGTGAATTTTATTGCCAAGATTTCAAAATGCCAGAATGATGCTTTTGAAAATGTCGTTGAAGCAGCATATTGTGTCACCGGCGGAGCGCATGTCCCAGCATGCCCTACGTTTAAGTGTAAGTAGCCATTGTTATATTGTTGTTGTTAATGGTTGCATTTCCCTATTGTTGCGCGTGTGTTTGCCCGTGTCTTGTGTGTACCCGGTCCGACCCCCCCGTGTGTATTTAACTTACGCAGATCTTATAGTTCGGCGTCTGACAGCCTTGTGTTTCCACTCCTCATATTTGGGTCGGTGCTCGTCGGGTGCCTGTTACAGTCCTGTTAAAGGCTGCTATTAAAGAGCTCTTTCCCCAGCAAGCAAGTCTCCTTGTTCTTCCCTGCTCCCACGATGCCTCGGTTTCACAGACGGCAGGCTGACGTGGGTCCAGCGATTCGGCAGGCCGCTCGCTTGCCGTAAGTGTAACAGCGGCATCTTCTCCAGAGCCTCTTCTCAGCTTCATTAACACTGAAGCTGTCGCTTTTCTCTCCCCAATTAAATACCTCTAATGGCTGCCTGGGCTGTCGTTTCCCGTCTCTCGTACATGTTCCTGTCTAATTAGGCCAGTGTCACCATTTGGACTCTTTTATGTTTTCTTTCACAAGATTTTGCAGCCACGCTTGGGCAGAACGCACCTCGACTGGGGCCGTGAGGCCGGTGTCAGCTCAGTGCTACGGACATGATTTTGACGTTTTAGTGGAACTTTGCACACGGGGTTAGCGGTTAGCAGTTAGCGGTCCGCTACAGGCCATGAAACTCTGGCCGTTTAGCATGATGCGAGAGCTCTAGCCCTGTGATCCCAGTATGTTGAATGTTCTTTCCCGACTGCAACCCCTATGCACCGTAGCTGCTTCCCTGTTCGGACTCCCAAAATGACAATGAAGCATTATTTTCCATTTGCAGAAGTACATTGGAACATGTTTGTTTCCGTAAATTCCGTCTTGCCCTTGTTTGTAAGACATGCACATGTATAGAGGTGGAAGTCACTTGTTTAACTTTTAGAGGAGGGGGGGGCTTGTTAAGGACTGTAGTGAAAAGCTTGGAGTGCATATGGCTACTCTATTGAGCACAGGATTTAAACTGGCGACCTTCCAATCGCAGGTACTAAGGCCTAACCAGCGGAGCCTCCCCCCCAATCTGGGGAGTTTGCATGCCCCCCCTCTTTTTCCCGGAATGAAATTATAGGCCCAAATGAATCACAGAGTCATTTTCTGTCCCACCTGATATTTACGGCCATCAGAATGAAAGTCGGCGCTAACGGCAGGCGGCCATTTTCACTTTACTGCTCTTTGCGTTGTCCCCCACCCCGCCGAGCTCACACTAAGCAGCATGATCCGCAGTGAGGTCGGCCCACTTCAGGACTCGATTGCTTTCGAAATCAAGGACGAGTCCCAGTTCCTCGCGCCGCTCCGGATGAGCTGTAGAAGCGTGTCCCTCAGATGATTGGTGAAGCCGTTTTCCTTGAGAGGCGAGAACCAATCAGGGAGCTGTCCCCTGTCTACCTAAGCAAAAGGAAGTCTAATAGCTTTAAAAAAAAAAAAAAACTGCAGTGAGTTCTCGTTTGTCACCGAGCCTTGGCCTGTTTCTCCCGAGGCGTGTAGGGGATGTAGCGTAAGGACACGCTGCTCTCTGGTAGTCTGCTGATACAGAGATTGAGTAAGCACGCTGAAGAGCTGCGTAACTCGTACCTTTCGTCGCTCTCTGTACTCTGATTGTGTTTACAAGGGCATGAAATTGAATTTCCCCGTCCTCACTTCAAAAACGTCCCCGCTTTGGACAAAACGTCTGTCTGGCTATTTGGTGTCTCTCTTTTCTTATCTCCACTCAAATTTTCACTCAAAAAAAAATAAAAATCTTAGGGAAGCTGCACATTTAAATGTGAAATTATATATCTCTTTCAGACCTGATCAGGGCATGAAGGCATCAGACCCCCCCCCTCCTTTCTATATATCTTTTGTTTATGGGACTATTACTTGTTCACGACCTGAGACAATCTGTCCCATTTTGGGGGTGCTCTTCAAGCCGTCGTCAGGATCACTGACCGGTGTCACGTCCCAATGAG